GTGTCCTGCATACGCTTGATTGTAGCGTTGAGCTCATCAGCAGCGGCAGCTGCATTGGAAACATCGCAAGAGCGTCCTTCCTGCTCTGCCGAAAGCTCAGCACGCAGCTGCTCCAGTTGGGACGTGAAATTGTCGGTGTCCTCCTTTCCTTTGGCCTCCAAGGAATCACCTCGTTCCACTGCTGCGGCATGCTCTGTCTGCCATGCGGATACCTTGCCGGTCAGTTCTTCGATCTTGGCCATGGCATCCTGCTGCTCGCTGGCATGTGTCTCGGCCGTGCTCGCAGCTGTGTCCTGCATACGCTTGATTGTAGCATTGAGCTCCTCAGCAGCGGCAGCTGCATCGGAAGCATCGGAAGAGCGCCCTTCCTGCTCTGCCGACAGCTCAGCACGCAGCTGCTCCAGTTGGGACATGAAGTTGTCGGTGTCCTCCTTGCCCTTGGCCTCCAAGGAATCACCTCGTTCCACTGCTGCGACATGCTCTGCCTGCCACGAAGATACCTTGTCGGTCAGTTCTTCGATCTTGGCCATGGCATCCTGCTGCTCGCTGGCATGTGTCTCGGCCGTGCTCACAGCTGCGTCCTGCAACTTCTGGATGGCCTCTTTTGCCAGCGCCAGCTCCTGGCAAGGGCAAACATCTTAGAAGTACATTCATACCGACAGTGCTCTGCCAGCGCAAACCGGGAAACCTAACTTGAGAATTACTCGTTGCTCCCAAACCCTAAAGCTCCCAAGACCGAACCCTAAACCCTAAAGCTCCCAAGACCCGAACCCTAAACCCTGAAGCTCCCAAGACCCGAACCTATCAACCCGAAAACCCTGAGGCCAACCATGGCCCCTAAGACAAACCTTCCTACCTGTAGTCTCCATTGTAGTTCCTTTTTGGGGTTACCTTTTATGTAGGATCCTTAATATGAAATTGGTTAAACCAAAAAAAAGGAACTACAATGGAGACTATAGGTAAGCCCCAAACCGGATACCTCTAAAACCTGATACGCTCTCCTAAAGCACAGCATGCTCGTCCTTGGAGACAAAAATAGAAAACCCCCAACCCCAAAGGAAGCAGACAAAATCTGAAACCTCACCTAAATCACCCAAGGCAACGTCAACTGCACTACGCGTCCTAAAATTAAAAGACTCAGAAATCTCAATCCCCCTCCTTCAGTAGTAAATCCCTATCCCACAACCCACAATAAAACCGATAAATCTATAACACCCTAAACCCGGAACCCCAAAAATTAACCCCTGAGCCCGAAACCCTAGACATGACCCCCTAAACTCCAACCCCAAACTTCAAACCCCAATGCTGAGCCCTGAAACCCTGAACCCTAAAAACTCCAAAACCCTAACCCCCTGAAGCTCCAAACCCCAAAAACCCGAATACCCCCAAACCCTAAACCCTAAACCCCAAAACCCCCTAGGGCGCTAAACCCTAAACCCTAAACCCCAAAACCCTAAACCCTTACAAAGCGCCGCGTTCAAAAAGGAGCCTGGAGTTGGTTCCTCAACTCTGCGGCCGTCTGCTCCGAAGTTTGGAAGAGCCCCTCCTGCAGAGAAAAGGCTCGGGGCTTATAGGGTTTAGGGCTTGGGGTTTAGGGTTTAGGGCCTAGGGCTAAAAGGGTTTAGGGTTTAGGGCTTAGGGGTTTAGGGCTTAGGGCTTAGGGTTTAGGGCTTAGGGTTTAGGGCCAAACCACACACCCTGGAGGGGGTCAAGTTCTGATAGTTTAGGGTTGAGGGCTTACGGTTCAGGGTTTAAGGCTTAGGGTTTTTTCGGCTTAAGGGTCTAGGGTTTAGGGCGTAGGGCTTCGGGTTTAGGCTTTGGGGAGCGTCGAGTTCTTCAGGTTTGGGGGGTTTGGGCTTAGTTATTGGGGCTGAGCTTCTTTGCTTTTTAGGAGTTTAGAAGATCTATGTAGCTTATAGAAGCCTTATGGAAGCCCTATATACCCAAAACTCCCCACCTGTAGTTTCCTTTAACTTAGGATTTCAAGGGTCATGAGGCTTCAGACTGAAGGTTCGGGGTTTAAGGATCAAGGCTCAGGGATTGCAAGGCTTCTGTCTCAAGGCTTCAAGGTTTAGGAGTTTATGGCTTAAGAGTCAAGGTTTAGCGTTTATAAGGCTTGGGGATCAAGCTTTTATAAGGCTTCAGAATCAAGGTTTAGGGTTTGGGGTTTGAGGATCAAGCTTAGGGCTTATCTTACTTTCGTTGGGTTTGTCGTTAGGTGTTCTTACTTGTTTGTTTGGCTTGTTTGTTGTCGTTTTTGCGTGTTTGGCGATGCAGTCTATCAGCTGGCCGTTTTGGTTAGGCTTTTGTCAGCGTATATAAATCCTAAACCCTAAATCCTAAACCGTAGTATACTGCTTTAGTGTTCGGGATCATGGGTTGAAGGGAGGGTGGGAGCTCAGGGTCGTTTTCGGGGTTTAGGGGGTGTTGGGGTTTAGGGTTTAGGCTTGAGTTTGGGGTTTAGGGATGTTGTTGGGGTTTAGGGTTTAGGCTTTAGTTTGGGGTTTAGAGGTGTTGGGGTTTTGGCGGCTCGGGGGTTAGGCAGTACTGGTGGGCTCACAAGGTTCACGGGTGCAAGGTTGAGCTTTGCGTGCTTATGGGCTAAACTTTTCTGGAAAGCACTGACTGGTAAACCGGTAAACCCCCTTCCCATGGATTCATAAATCCCTAAACCCCTAAACCCTAAACCCTGAACTGGATCGCAGTGGGGTGTTATTTAGCTCGTTTTACCCTTCAAAGAGGGGAGTTCGCGGTCGGAGATGGGTTTTGTCAGCCTTGTGACTGGGCTTTTAATATTGGCTCGCTTACCCAAAGAGTCCAAAGTACCTATACGGTAGAATGTGGGGTTTCTACATGAGGAACCCTTATACCCTAAGCCCTAGTGATGATTTGGGAAAGTCTCGCCCATAACGGGACCTTAGACCTTTTGGCTTAGGCGCTTATGGTCTACCGCCTTCGGTGCTGGGGGCGTAGGGCTCACGGCTACCGTAACACTTTTGGGCGCTTCGAAGTTACCTACAGTCTCCATTGTAGTTCCTTTTTTGGTTTAACTAACCACTTTTAGATTAAGGAACCTAAAAGGTACCCCCCAAAAGGAACTGCAATGGAGACTATAGGTAGAGGTCAGGGTTTAGGGTTTAATTCGGGTTTAGAGTTTCAGGGTGCTGAGGCTCTCCTTGTTTGAAGGTGTCAGCTTTGGCGTTTAGGGCTTGCAGGAAATTGGGAGCGTAAACTGCAAGGTTCACCGCAGGTGCCCTAAACCCTTCCACCCTACCAACCTGAACCCTAAACCCCAAAACTTAAACTCTACCTATAGTCTGCATTGCATTTCCTTTTTGGGGTTACGTTGTAGGATGTTTGATACTGGTAGGTATAGTTGGTTAACCCAAAGAAGGGACTACAATGGCGACTATGGGTACGTAATCCCTAAGTCACCCTAAACCCTAAACCCTAATTAAGTTTCTAAACCCTGAACCCGAGATCCTTTAAACCCTAAACCCTGCACACCCTCGACACGAAAATCCGGCACAGAGCCACACCTTGGCTGATTTGAGATCTTCGACCTGGCGGGAGTTAGGGGTTTTGAAGCTTATCGAAACTGTTAAGGGGTTTAGGGTTTAGGGTTTTGGGCCTTGGTTTAGGGTTTATAGGGTTTAGGGTTTAGGGTTTGGGTGCCGAAGTTTTGACCAAAGGTTTTGACCAGGCTGTATGTTTTGGAAGCTGATTTCGTATTTGGGGCTGGGGTTGGGGCTGGCTGCTGAGGCTGAGGGACTGATACCGAGTTCTGACCGAAAGTTTTGACCATGAAACCCTGAACCCTAAAACTTCAAAACCCTAACCCCCTAAAACTCCAAAACCCAAAAACCCGAAAACCCCCCTGGGCAGGGCTGCGCTGGGCTGGGCTGGTGGGTGGTGGCTGGGGCTGGATGGCTGGAGCTGGGTCTGCGGCTGAAATTGACGGTTTAGAGGCTTCAAGGTGATCACAGACACGCAATGTCAATTTGCTTCTTTCGTGAGGTTTAAGGCTTAGGCTTTGGGCTGTAGGGTTAAGGGCTGGGGGTTTTGGGGTTTACTTGCAACTAGATGAGTCTGGGGGACTCTAATAATTACTAGGGTTCTAAACCCTAAAGGTCGTAGGCGGAAAAAATAATCGCCCTAAGCCCTAAACCCTACCGGGTTTAGGGCTTGCTCTGCCCTAAAGCCTGATCCGAGCCTCGGCAGACAAGCGAGCCGCATCTTTCGCCGTGGCTTCTTTCTGAGACACTTCCTGAGGAGCTGCAGGGCTTCGGTCCCTCATCCTTAAACCCTCAACCCCTAGGGGGTTTAGGGGGCTTTAGGGCTTTAGGGTTTGGGTTTAAGGGCTTGAGGGTTTAGGG